GGCAGCAGCGCACGACTGGCGTCAGCGTCGTGACGAAGCGCAGCGCGTACGTCGCCCGTTCGCGCAAGTACTTTGGCGAAAACGAAGCGTCGAGGAGCCACGTGAAGAGCACGAGCTTGGGGCGGTCGGTCGTCTCGGGGAGTAGAATCGCGTACACGCCTTCGTGGCTCGCGTGCAAGTACGTTTCGAGGTTCGTGGGCCACCAGCCTTGCGCGCGCAGGTCCGCTTCCACCGCCGCTTGCTTGCCGTAGCACGCAACCACGTCGATGCTGCGGTTGAACGTGGCTTTGTTGACACTCTGGTCGGCGTCAACCTTCTCGTCCTTCTTCGGCACCGTGCCGGTGTTGAGGCCCGCGTCGGCGTTTTGACCCTCGGACAGCACCGCATCGGCGTCCGCGACGGCATCACTTCTTGCTGATGGCACCTTGGCGTCGTAGAGGACCGCGTCGCCCAGCTGGCCCTCGGGCGACGCGGCGTCGGCGTTTGCTACGCCGTCACCACACGTTGGCTTCTCCTTGACGCCGTTGAGACACGCGTCGATGAAGTGACCGAGCTGGCCCCCGGGCGACGCGGCTTTAGCGTCGACGACACTGAGTGCGCGGAGGAGGCGGTAGAGCTCGAATTCCTTGAGCGTGGGCTGGAAGACCTCGGAGCCGTCGTCGAGACGAGGCACGGTCTCAAGCAGGTGGTAGCATTTGAGCTCTTCGTAGCTCATCGCAACGCTGTTTTCTGTCATGCTGGTGGCTTGAAAGACAATTGCAAAATGAGTTTGAAGCGAGAGCACCGATCGCTTGGGTGCACTTGATCATTTTCTTGCACTGTACGACGTGGCGCGTTGACGTGCGTGCGACCGTCGCTCTTTTGCCACAATGCACGAGATTGAATCCCATCACCCCACACAATCAACACAGCGAGAGCCCACCCCCGAGCTGCCCGATCTCGTCCGGCTTCTCGCTCCAGTCTTCACCAATCCAGACCACTGCTTCAGCCACGTCTACCCAACAAAGAAAGTCCGACATCATTACCTCGTGTATCAAATATATCAGTCAAATCAATGCAGTTGACCATGCCATGTGAATAGCCCGCTTCTAGTGCTAGTGTGTGGCTGATTTGGGTACTTGATAATTTTTCTCGTGGCAGGGAGTGTGGCAGGGTACGCCCTTTCAGTGCCACGGTACGTACAGTACGTGCGAGCGCTTATCTCAGTTCGCAGCCTCCATTCATACAAAAAAGTGCACGGGGTTCACCGATTTCCTATCGAGGCCAAACGGATTGGTTCGTGCATACTCGTGCCAACAGAAAGTAGCCAAGGTACAGTACATCACAACGGCAATCCCGTCGACTGATATGATGTTGAAGTTGTCATCACTGCCAGGACTTTGAGTGATCCGGTGTGGTCGGGCATCACGAGCGGCGTCGAGAGAGCGCACACGACGAGGATCGCGAGGATCTGAAAGAGGAACTGGAGCACGAGAAGACCAAAGCTTGGCAGCTGCGAGTCGATTTGATCCAAGTCGTTCGAGAACCGGTTGAGAATACGGCCGATGGGCGTGACGTCAAAGAAGGTGCTGATGGGCGCGTGAAGGACCTTGCGCAGAAGCATCGCATGCAGCGACTGCGAGCACTGGACGGCAATCTGAAGCACGTGTAGCGACCGACCGTAGACCAAGAGCGCTGAGAGCAGCGCACACCCGAGGTAAATGTACCCGGACGAGACGGAAGCCGTCATCTCTGTGTGGTTCGCCCAGTAGCTCATGAACCCGTCGGTCAGCACCAACACCGCTTGTGAGACCGTAGAGAAGACACCGATGCACACCGCTACAAAAAACCTAGACCAGAGAAACGTGAGCACTGGATGGCATGCTGTCTAGAAAAAGGATTCACCCGTTGGAGCCACTGGCGCCAAAATACGCCTTGTACGTCGCGACCTTGGGCGCGGTCTTCCTTCTCGACTAGGTCGCCTGCCGTCGCCTCCTTGGCATCCATGAGCACGTACGTTGTCTTTCAACCTCACGAATCGGATCGAGATCACGCCCATCTCCCATGTCACCAGAGGACAATCCAACCTGAGCCCATGCGTGGAAGGGCTGGACCAGATCGCATCTCCTTGGTCAAAGCAAAGGGCAATAAGAAGCTTCTTATGGCAACAAGTCCAATCCCATGAACAGAATGCATGTATTACCAGCACTCTTTAAACTGCCTTTCTCCAGGTTGCACATGCCCGATTCGTTGCAATACCGCATGGGTCGCTGGACGCCCGAGCTCGTCGAGGCCGTTGTGCTCTATCTCGAGCGTCCACGTGACGTCCTTTTCGTTCTGGCGAGTTTACCGCAAGGTCTCTTGACGCTACCGCTGCAATGCGTGGCCCAGCTTACCGAGATGGCGGTCGTCGATTGGCCCGACGTGCACCTGGACGAGTCAGCCATTGACGCGCGCTCGCTCGACCTCCTCGCTGGAGCGCGTCGCCTCGCGCCATCCATCACTGTCAATGTCCAAGCCGGTGACGCGTTCCAACAACTGGTGCCGCTTCTCGCGGGCTGCATAACGCGCGTCCACATCCCGTCGGCCGTACCTCTCCCGGCCGGTTTGAGCGTGCAGGCAGCGCTTGCTCAGTGCACTGCACTTCGTCACTTGTCGCTGCACGTTCCCAGCAAGCCGGACGCTGTATCGTGGTTGGAGCCGCTTTTGCAGCGCCTCGCAGCGACCGAGACGCTATCGACCCTCGACCTTCGATTTGGCAGGGACACGATTCCGTTGATCCAGTCGTGCGTCTTTGCGCACGTCGCCCACTGGCTGCGTCAACCAAGCGCAAGAGTCCTCGCTTGCCGTGGCGATGTGTCGGCAGAGGAAGCGCTCTGGTCTGCGCTCGGCGGCAGTCCTTTCTTGACAGACCTCGTGCTCGAGAGTCCTCGGCTTCTCGCTCGTCCAACTCCTGACTACCGCATGCCACGGACCTTGCGCTTCCTTCAATGGAAGGCTCTGCACGAGTGCAGTATGGTACCGGTTGCAGCCATCCTTCGGAGCGCGCCGAACCTCTCGTCGCTCGCTCTGTCGTGGGGGCATCTGCCGCCGTCGCCGCTTGTCATGGTTGTGCGGGACCTGCGATGCTTGGTGTCGGTCTCGTTCTCAGGCAATCGGCTCGGGTCCAAGGTCTTTCCGCCCGTTTTACAAGCCATTGCCAACTTGCCGCTGCTCGAGACGCTGTGTTTGGCCGACAACCAGCTTGCCGACTCGGCCGTGCCGTACCTGCTCCGTGTACTCGCCGAGTGCTCTGTGCTGCGGACGCTGGACGTATCCCAGAATGCGATTTCGGCGACGGGCCTCGCAAGCCTCCTGCCCGCGCTCGCCAAGAAGCCAACGCTGGCGCAGATCAAGCTCGAAAACAACTGTTATGTGCTGCGCAACCTCGCGCACATCGCGTCGTCGCTGGCTTCATGGCCCAGCGCTAGCACGCTCGTGCTAGGCTATGATGTATCGCATGGTGCCGACGCACTTTTGTTTTTAGAGAGCGTTCACACGACGGGGTGCATCCGTGTCGAGATGCGGGATTGGGATATCTACGTCCCAAGAGTGCTTCAGCGCGCCTACACCCGCGAGATGACGCGCTTGCGTAATGGAGGTGACCTCGCGACGCAGCCATGGACGCTGCGCCTTGTCGGGCACGCGCCAAAAATGCCAAAAATGAGTAACTAAAAACATTAAACTCACGTGCTCGTGTTGTTTAGATCAAGCGTTATGTGTTGTGGGATCTTGTCCCTCGACGCTTTCATCAAGGCACATTGCCATGGTCATCGGACCGAAGGGTGCAGTAGACTCTACGGTACATATCGACGCCATGGGTTCAGCGCTGGCTCAGATTGCCTTTGCACTTTTAGTGCATTGAGAGCGACGCTGCTTGCACATTGCAGCGCACGTGCTACGCAGTACAATTCGTGCTTCTTCCTGCGCCGTAAGCGACCTGGCGCCTGCGCAAGTCGCCCACCGGTGCTCCCGTTGAAGGTAAATTTTGGCTCGGTAGAAAAGCGCACCAAGGATGGTGATTGGGTGCGCCCGCATAAGTGCGAAGATCGCAGCTGGCACCTCGCCTGCATTTCTTTTGGCAGACGCGCAGCATGCCAGCGCTGCCGGCCGCGCTCCGCCAGGCGGTCCTCGAGTTCGCCATCGACACCTCGCGCCCGCTCGCGATGGACGCGGCTACCTTGCGCCTCGTCAACCATGCGTGGGCGGAGGCCGTCGAGAGCGTGCCGCTGCGCGTCCGCGTGCACATCCTCTCGACAACGTCGCAGCAAGACGACCGTGTCGTGCGCCTTAGCGCCATGTCGGCTGACCCGTTTCGATACCCGCTTGTGGCCAACGTGCAC